CCAGAGACTGCGGACATAGTACAGGAGATGACCAGAGACTGCAGACACTGTACAGGAGATGACCAGAGACTGCGGACATAGTACAGCAGATGACCAGAGACTGCGGACATACTACAGCAGATGACCAGAGACTGCGGACATACTACAGGAGATTACCAGAAACTGCGGACATAGTACAGGAGATGACCAGAGACTGCGGACAAAGTACAGTAGATGACAAGAGACTGCGGACACAGTACTGGAGTTGACCAGAGACTGCGGACATAGTAAAGGAGATGACCAGAGACTGCGGACATGGTACAGGAGATGATCAGAGACTGCAGACAAGGTACAGGAGATGATCAGAGACTGCGGACATAGTACAGGAGATGACCAGAGACTGCGGACATACTACAGGAGATGACCAGAGACTGGGGACATACTACAGGAGATGACCAGAGACTGCGGACATATTACAGGAGATGACAGAGACCGCGTACACAGTACAGGAGATGACTAGAGACTGCGAAACAGTACAGGAGATGACCAGAGACTGCGGACATAGTACAGGAGATGACCAGAGACTGCGGACATAGTACAGGAGATGACCAGAGACTGCGGACATAGTACAGGAGATGACCAGAGACTGCGGACATAGTACAGGAGATGACCAGAGACTGGGGACATACTACAGGAGATGACCAGAGACTGCGGACATAGTACAGGAGATGACAGAGACTGCGGACATAGTACAGGAGATGACCAGAGACTGCGGACATAGTACAGGAGATGACCAGAGACTGCGGACATAGTACAGGAGATGACCAGAGACTGGGGACATACTACAGGAGATGACCAGAGACTGCGGACATAGTACAGGAGATGAACAGAGACTGCGGACACAGTACAGGAGATGACCAGAGACTGCGGACACAGTACAGGACCAGAGATGACAGGAGATGACTGCGGACATATTACAGGAGATGAACAGAGAGCGCGTACACAGTACAGGAGATGACCAGAGACTGCGGACACAGTACAGGAGATGACCAGAGACTGCGGACATACTACAGGAGATGACCAGAGACTGCGGACATAGCACAGGAGATGACCAGAGACTGCGGACATATTACAGGAGATGACCAGAGACCGCGGACACAGTACAGGAGATGACTAGAGACTGCGGACATAGTACAGGAGTTGACCAGAGACTGTGGACATACTACAGGAGATAACCAGAGACTGCGGACACAGTACAGGAGATGACCAGAGACTGTGGACACAGTACAAGAGATGACCAGAGACTGCGGACATACTACAGGAGATGACCAGAGACTGCGGACACAGTACAGGAGATGACAAGAGACTGCGTACATATTATAGGAGACGACCAGAGACTGAAGACCTTCCGCAGAGTTGTCCTCCCCCCTCGCTCCCCGTAGTCTTGTGGGACACGTGACAGGTCCCAGAAGACTACGAGGCCATTCACAAAGTGCATCACTTCTCGTGCATGTGCAGTGTGAAGCCACACGCTGTCACAGCCGGATGCCCACACTGAAGATGCCGGCGCCAGGGAGAGAAGACGGCTGTTGAAAGCAGGATGTCGCTGGACTGAGGAACAGGTAGGACCGAGGAGCAGGTTCTTCTGCACAGTAGAGCCGAGCGGCCGGCCCTGTATTCTAACACGGAGGCTGCAACGGGGGAAAATACCGGGCTGGCCGCTCCATATTCGCTCCATAAGACGCACAGACATTTCCCCCCATTTCTGGAAGGGAAAAAAGTATGTCTTATGGTGCGAAAAATACGGTATATGTTAATAAAGAGTACTGCACTATGGCTTTCTCTTGTTATCTCTCAGAATGGTGGAGATAGAGTTGGAGATAGAGTTGAAGAAATAAAGTCGTCTTTAAAGTGGAGTAACTACCCATGCAATCCATACATACAAAAAAAAAAACCAAAACAAATAAGTTCAGAGATTAAGTTATGCGTAATAAAATGGAATGACAAAGGGAAAAAGTATTGAACACATGAAGAAAGGGAGGTGCAAAAAGGCATGGAAAGCCAAGACAACTGCTGAAATCTATCAGTAATTAGAAAGCAATCCTGCCCCTTGTCAGTGCAAATTAATATCAGCTGGTTCTGCCTAAACTGATGGCCTATAAAAAAAAGGTGCCTCATTACCAAGGTGTCACACAGAAACATCTCATGATGGGTAAAAACAAAGAGCTCTCTTAAGACCTTTTGCAACCTTATTGTTGCAAAATATATTTATGGCACTGGTTACAGAAGGTAAAGATTTCTAAACTTCTGAATATTCCAGTGAGCACTGCTGGGGCCATAATCCAGAAGTGGAAAGAACATAATTTCTCTATAAACCGGCCACGACCAGGTGCTCCTTGCAAGATTTCTGAGTAAAAAGAATGATCAGAAGAGTTGTCCAAGAGCCAAGGACCACTTGTGGAGAGCTTCAGAAAGACCTGGAATTACCTGAAGACAATTGTTTCAAAACAATAAGTAATGCACTCAACCGCCATGGCCTGTATGCACGCTCACCACACGAGACTCCATTGCTGGAGAAAAAGCATGTTGAAGCTCGTTCAAAGTTTGCTGCACAACATTTAGACAAGCCTGTGAAATACTGGGAGAACATAGTCTGGTCAGATGAGACCAAAATTGAACTCTGGATGTTATAATACACGCCATGTTTGGAGGTCAAATGGCACTGCACATCACCCCAAAAACACCATACCAACATTTCAGTTTGGAGGTGGGAACATCATGGCGCGGGGCTGTTTTTCAGCATACAGTGCTGGCAAACTTCATATCATTGAAGGAAGGATGAATTGAAAAATGTATCAGGGCATTCTTGATAAAAAAAACCTGCTGCCATCTACCAGGATGATGAAGATGAAACAAGGATGGACATATCAGCAAGACAATGATCCCAAACACAAAGTCAAGGAAACTCTCAATTGTTTCAAAGAAAGAAAATAATGTTGCTAAAATGGCCCAGCCAATCACCTGACTTGAATCCAACAGAAAATCTATGGAAAGAACTAAGGATCAGAGTTCATAGATGAGGCCCACGGAACCTTCAAGATTTGAAGACTGTTTGTGTGGAAGAATGGGCCAAAATCACACCTGAGCAATGCATGGGACTAGTTTCTCCATACAGGAGGCGTCTTGAGGCTGTCATTACCAGCAAAGTATTTTGTACCAAGTATTAAATACATTTCAGTTAGTGTGTTCAATACTTGTTCCCTGTGTTATTCCATTTTGTTAAACATAACTTAATTTCTGAACTTATTTGTTTTGTATTTTTGTATATATGAATTGCATGGGTTGTTATTGACAAGTGGTGAACATTTCATGTCAATAGCACCTTTAGAAACCTATTTACTGAGAAAAATGGTGATGTGTTTAATACTTATTTTACCCACTGTATATTATACATTTTAGAAAATTACTATTTTGTGCCAGCTTTTCTTTGATAATAAAAAATTAGAGTATATCTATTAACATTTACCATCAAATTAAAGTCCAATTTGTCCTGAAAAAACAAGGTATAATTCATTTGGAAACCCTAAGTAGCTGCGATGATATGAACAGTATTACTAACACACGTGAAAGTTGCAAAACTAACTTCAGGCATTAAGATTTGTTTTACCTTTTGTCATGTAAGGGTTAATAAAAAATGACTTTAGGGGCAGTTTACTCCCTCCCCCTAAAATCTTGCTACCCTAGATCCAGGCCTTCCACTGGAGGCACCTAATGAGTTAGTTCACCTGTACAGAAAAAAATGTAGAGGTATACTAACACTGGACATCCTCCCCCACCCCCCTGGTCCCTGCTTATTTACCTCCGGGATTGACGAGCTGTCAGAAACTCCGCAGCCACTCCAGTGGTCCAGAGACTTGAAATCCCCACTCTTCTCAATCAGAAATCCAGAACGGACCACATGCATTAACTGGCCTTGCTCATGAGTGCACCTTTACTGACAGCTGTCTATAATGCCCAGTTGACAGTTCCTAATAAACACACTTTGATAAATGAGGTCCATGACATCTGTGCTCACTTTGCTTGTACAGTGATATGCACAGGTGTTTTGAAGATCAATAAGGATCGGAAAAAAGTTTTTGTGCATCTGATCAAAGAGTAACTCCAATTTTGTTGAGAAAAAAAACATTCCCCTCTGAGTGAGGGTGGGATAGCTGTTTGTTTATATCCATGTGCAAAGTGAATCTGTTTAGGATTGATTTTAAAATTATCTATCAGCTGCCGCACCTGTACAGCTCTAATGAGGAAAATTGCAGGGTCTGCATCTCTCTGAACATGGGGATCTAATCTCACCAAAAATGACATTTTTGCTGCAGGGGATTCCCAAAATCTGACTTTTATCTTAGTGCACACTTTTGGGAAAATTAATGAGCCAATCACACAAGCAGGAAATTATATCTCTGGGGGTGTTGTGTACACATCTGTGTACAGAATGCCTCTAGGCTGCAATATTGCATTGCATTTTACAGAAAATTAAATCGCTGCAGATTGAAAATTTAAGGTCATTTTAAAAACATTCAATTACAATATGACTTATGCCACAATTGTATAACACTATATATATATATATTTTTTTTTTATTTCAAATTTGTTCCCACAAAAGTGGAGCTACCCACTAAGTATGACTCTAAAAGGCCCAAACTGAGAAATGGTACCACTGCAGTGTACTTATAATCACCATCAGAGTGACTTGTAGAAGCTTTATGTTTACACGTTGCATAGTAAATTTCACAGAATACACCTACACACTGTCCAGTCATTTGATTAGAATACCATATATCACAACAAATAACACACAAAAGACAGCGTCATGCAGATACAGTATAAGGTGAAAAAGAAATGACTTGAACAATATTAATTACATTTCAGTGAGGTTTTGCTGAAAACTACTGTGATGTGCTCTCCTTCAGATTGAAACACACATATGGCTATGGCATAGTACATTTACATGCTGCAATGCTTACCTGCTAATACCTAGAGCAGTTGTTAGTTGATCCAAGCTAGATTTGTTCTGCCATAGCTGTGGAAAGAAAAACATTTCTCAGTACCTACCCCCAAGCACTTTAAAGTAGAACTATGGTCTCCCAATAAAAAATATGTGCTGCAGCACTTAAATATAAGTACATCTGCATTTAAAGCTTTCTCTAAAGGCTTGTTCACATCAGGTGTGGTGCGGGAACGCATGCAAAATCACGCTGCCTTCTGCAGATGTGCGGGTGTGATTAATTCTTAATGACACCCCCAAACGTCTGGAAAACGTGCGTGCCTTTGTGGCCACAAAAAATGGATGGTAACGCAGTACCATGAAGTGCAATTTAAAATATCAAATATGCAGGACTTTTTGTACATTCCTACACATTGGACAGCCCACTAAAATTAACTGACTGCCCTAAATGCACTGGGCAGGAATGCGCAAAAACTACGTGATCAGGTGCACCTTTATTAGTCCCACTACAAAGTCCCATAAATGCCTGTTGATCCTTCCAGTGAAGTCAACTAATGACATGTTGCCGGAGGTTTGGCTAACAGCATTGTCACTGCTTATTCACAAGTGGCCACACCTAATCCTGTCCACGGTGTTCTGGATTAGAATCATAGAGTGTTGGCAGAAGACCAAGTGGTCCACCGCACACCGATCAGCCATAACCTTATAACCACCCACCTAATATTAAGTAGGTTCCCTTTCTGTCACCGAAACAGTCCTGACCCATCATGGCATGGACTCCTCTAGACCTCTGAAGGTATTCTTTGGTATCTGGCACCAAGCCACCAGTAGCAGATCTTAACTTGCAAGGTGGGGTCTCCATGGATCAGATTTGTTTTTCCAGCACATCCCACAGATGCTCGGTGGATTGAATTTTATAGAATTTGGAGGCCAAGTCTATATCTCAAACAGGAATACCAATTCTATGATGGGATGTACTTGGTCAGCAACAATGTTTAGGTATGTGGTACGTGTCAAAATAACACCCACATGAATGGCAGGATTAACGTTTCCCAGGGAAACCTTACCCAAAGCATCACACTGCCTTCGCTGTCTTTCCTTCCTTCTATACTGCATCCTAGTGCCATCTCTTCCGCAGGTAAGTGACACACACACCCAGTCATCCACATGATGTAAAAGAAAAGTGACACCCTGACCGGTTTGTGGCTACGCAACCCATACACATTTTTTTTTTTCTGCTTTCAACACATCAACTTCATGGACGACGTGCTTACTTGCTGCCTAATATATCCCACTGACTTTTTGTAATGAGATAATAAAAGTTATTCACTTTACCTGTCAGTGATCTTAATGTTATGCCTGATCAGTGTACAATATACAGTTTTATATATATATATATATATATATATACAGTGAGGAACAGAAGTATTTGAACACCCTGCGATTTTGCAAGTTCTCCCACTTTGAAATCATGGAGGGGTCTGAAATTCACATTGTAGGTGCATTCCCACTCTGAGAGACAGAATTAAAAAAAAAAATTCAGGAAATCACATTGTATGATTTTTAAAGAATTTATTTGTCTTAATTTATTTAAGACAAATTTTATTTGACGAATTTATTTGTACTATCTCTGCTGGTAGTCTATTTCAAGCATCAACTATGCTCTCAGTAAAATAAATTAGATGTATTGCCTGGAAAAGTGCCTGGAAAAGGGAGCATGTAAGACACAAATGAGGAAAGACTTGGCTCAGTCACAGAAGGTAAGTATTTTTGACTTACCTGTAAAATCTATTTCTTGGAGCACAATACAAGACACAGACTTCATTTTTCATAGACCCTGGGTTACTATTCAGCCACCTTCAGGTGATTGGACACTTTTTGGGACAGCTCATATAACTCCGTTTTGTAGCAAGCCATAAGATGAACCTCCAAAACAGAGGGTGGGGGTGGCCCATGTACTCCATGAAAAGGATTTTTACAGGTAAGGCAAAAATCTTCATATCTTAATAGTACAGAACACAGGCTCCTTTAATCTTGGAATGTGGGGTGACAGAAAACAATATAACAGAGTGGTGGGAAACAAAACAACAATAACATAAATCTAGAGATCATACGCTAGAAATCTGCACCCAGTTAAGAGGTTGTGCAATTCTGTTTGCCAGTGTCCAATTACCTGAAGGTTTATGATTAAAAGAGCTTGTGTCCTGTACTGTATGATTAGGAAAATAAAGTCTTTTTGTTTACTCTCCGAGGATTGTACATCACATACGATCTGGACTTGGTACTTTTTTAGACTGTTAAACAAAAGCAACTAGTTGTTTAAAGTGTTGGTGCACACATCTGACATTACACCTCAACTCTGAGCTGGAAATCTTTCCAGATGACTCCACCAAATGAAAAACGTTACCGATCAGAAATATGACATTGAAATTGTTTAATGGTCCCATGTGCAGGAACATACTTTTCAAAAGGAATACATCTTGTCTCTCTTTCATATGCTTACTACAAGATGCTGTCATTCATAATTATATAACTAAGCATCACAGAAAGTTATTTTGGCAGAAAAATTAATATTATGCGGTTGAGCCCTTTAGAATAATCATGCTGTATATGAGACCCGTACAATCAAACAGGTTGCCCACAATTGCTACAAACCACTTTAATAAGGAGACTCACAGCTGAACTGAACTTGGTGCGAATGAGCCCAGGTGCAAGGCAGTTCACTCGGATGTTTAGCGGTGACAACTCTGGTGCAAGAGCTTTGGAAAGGCCAAGCAGTGCAGTCTTACTGACGCTGTATGGGCCCAGAGCCTAGGAGGACATTAACAGAAACATAAGAGTAGGACAGCAATACTGAAAGACCAAAAAAAAGAATGCTAAGATGATTTACTTACAGGAAATGGTGTAAATCCAGCCACAGAAGAAACGATCACAATACTGCCACCTCTGTGGAAAGGGAAGAAAAGTTACTATAGAAAGATAGAAAGAATCTTTCAGTTTCAGTTTATTACGATATGTAACTTGTAACAGACACTGCATTGATTGGTAAAGGAAATAGCTCATTTGGACTTCTTTAAAGTTGTAGATTTTGTGAAATTAGGTTTTAAAGAGGAATTAAAGTCCTGCTGTAAACAACTGTGAGCACACACGCTCATATATTGCAGAATATGTGCCAGATTGGTCTGGGATTCATCTAGAACACTAAAGAGGAACACTAACTTGAAGCACAAACACCTGCCATTGCCTGCTATGCAATACCAGCAGCAGTCAATGATTTAAACTTTTGTGTAAAAGAGATCAGCTCGGTGTGCTAATACTAAAAAAAAAAATAATTTCTATGTATGAATTGTAACTATATATTAACTTGGGGCAGCCATAATTGCCCATTATATATTTAGGCTTTGCTTCCTGCTTTGACATTTAACACAATGGTCATGTTTTAATCCATCTACTAAATGCAAGTTTGAGTCATAAAATATGTAATACAATACAAAAAATATGAAAGAACGAGCATTTAAATGGAGAAATTCACCTAAAAAAGTACCTCAAACAGTTATCACTAAAACGTACTATAACTTTTCTTTAATTGCATTATAAAATATCACCTTGGCACTCAGTAGAGTAGAAATACTTTGACCCGTGTACAACAGTTACAGACTGCCTTGCACAGCCATATAATTTTAAAGGATAAGTTCACTTTTGTAAAAAAAATAATAAAGGCATATTTTTTACAGGTTAAAAAAAAAAGTGGATTTATAATTTTTTTTTCTTAGGGGCCTGCAGAGCATTGCACCCATGATCAGCAGATTGCAGGTGCAATGTCAGGCTCCTGCAAACACTCAGTACAGCTGTCTACCTGTACCCCTAATATGGGCAGACATTTACTGTCCAGGAAGAATCAATGAACTACGAGACTTGCAGTTTATTGAGAACTACATGCTGTTTGCTGTGCTGGCGGATAGGACTTGTAGATCATTCATTCACAGAACTCAATGATTGAATGATGCTGCTGTGTGGGCAGAGCCCCGCACAGTCACACTGTTTTTAAATTGTGACAGCTGGTGCGGGGATAGGATCCCCCCCCCCCAATGTCACAACAGGGGATCAGAGGGGGGTGTGGGGTTGCTGCTTTAGCTCTGGATACGAGTGTAAATGTGTAAATGTAACATGTTTCTAAAAGTGAACGTAGCCCTTTAAAAGGTTTCCAAAGTGGGTATTTGGTCAAAGAGATTTGTAAAATATTGTAATGTCCCTCATGAGTGTTTGCTGCTAAGAGGTCAATAGCCCAGTGAACACCCTCTTCCCCAAGTCTCACCCTCTTTCCTGCATTTTGGGCACCACAAGTTTCACCAGAAGGAATGCAGCTTTAACATTTATATCTAAAATCTGAGAAGAAAACGAGTGTGAATTTTGTAACATCACAAGTATAGCAAAAAGTATAGCAAAAATCATTTTGAAATAAAAGAAAATTAGGTGTTTTATATTTATGTTGGTGGATTTCTGTTGAATGTACTTTCTTCCTTCCATGAATGTAGGTCATAAAGAAAACTTGAACATTTACTTGCTTCAATATATTCAGTGAAAAGAAGGGGGCGCAAAAATTAAACCACACACTCCAAGACATGGTTTGGGTCCTGGTCAGCTCGGTGTACCTAATGGAGAGATCGGCAATGGCCATCTAATGACTGTTCAGAGGACAGCAGAGACTCATTTTTGCTGCCATAACCTTCCCAGGGAGTGTGGTCATACAAACCTGGGACTGTTAGTTCTGCTAATAAAGAAATGTCCTATAAAATTCAATTATAGATACTGAGTATTTTCATAAAAAGTGTGTAGACGATTCAGGTCCCTGTCTACTAACATAGTGCAGTGTCAGTCTCTCTCAGTCTATTGTCCCGCTCTTGATTACAGTTCTGGCAGATGAAATCTTTTCAACAGGAAATAATGGTACACGTGTCGAAAGGAGAAGGAGCAACCTCTGGTTAAGATGCAGTGAATAAAAACTGAAATTTTATAAAGAGGAGTCAGTTGAGGGTGTTAATTTACTTCTCCTTTATGTGTAATGCAGTTTGAAACCAGCTACTGACTGTTAATCTAGTTGATGTTCTGGAAACAATAAACCATTAGTTCACTGAAAAGTCTGATACCTACAGCAGCTCATTAGAGTTAATTTTGCACTAGTTTGACCCGAATAAAGTAAATTGTGACGTGTGGCATTTTTTTTTGCAGTTTGCAGTTACAGCTTTTCTTTTTGCACCGTTCATTGAATAGGTCTGCAGATGTAAGAATATGCAAGGTGCTTTATGCAGATCTGTGTGGGTTTACATATTGACTTACCTTATCCCAAACCTCATCAGTAGAGTCCAGGATATTTCCAAAAAAAGGGTTAACTGCAGCATTAGAAACAAGAATATCAACCCCTCCAAATTTCTGGACAGCCTAGAAAATAAATTATGTCAACACAGCGTTTCCTTTAGAAAGCCTGCCAGAAACATATGTGAAAAAGTCCATTAGAAAATAATATCATTGAGTTAGATGTCCGGGTCTCCCACCTTGTGAAAGCATAAATCAGTCTGTGAACTGTAATAACTAATGGAACAATGTTTTTTTTTGCTGTTTTATTATGTTTTCAAATTGTCATGTATTAAATGTGCATTTGTAAAGCAGATATAAAACAGCAAAGGATTCCCATGGCACTATGGGTTATCTGCCTGCTTGGAGGCTCAGCTTGTCTAATTGAAACATCATTCCAATCAGGGATGTATCACTGCTGATGACTCATCCACTTTGGACTGTACAATTACAGTGTATTTTACCCCAACATTTCATAATCCTGATATGTGTCTTTTGTACAATGTACTTGTATGAAAAAGTAAAAAAAAAAAGGTATTTATAATGTTTTCAAAAATATATACTTAAATGTCTTGCTTTGCATTTCTATATTAAACTGAATGGGTACAAGGTAAAGGTTCACATGTGCTGTAAGCATGAGCTATTGAGAACTGCAAAGAAAAAAGTAGAGTGAAGGTTTTTTTTTTAGTCCTGATCATTAAAAAAAAAAGAAAATATGTACAAAATAATTGTACATTCTTATTTACGTTCAGCAGTTTTTTATTCTTTCTTTAACCCCTTCCCGTCCATCCTATATCAGTAATACTGCTACATGGCAGCACAAGTGTGCAAAATCACACATATATATATATGTTTGTGTGTGATTTCGGATTTCCGGGTAGGGAGCGCATGAGCCGCGCACGTGACCTACCTGCTCCTCTGTTCGCAGCTTCAGCTGTCAATCACCGGGTCCCCGGCCAATTAGTGATCAGCACCCAGTGATCGAGGAGCATTACCGATGGAGGGAGAGAACTGTAAGTAAACAATACAGTTCTCTCTCCCGTCAGTTCCTGCAAACTGCTATGCATGGCTTTGCATAGCACAGCCATCCAAAGCAGTGTGCTTACAGTGAAGCGCTAACACAGCACACAGTAAAACAGCACATAGTTAACTCTTTGATCGCCCCACATGTTAACCCCTTCCTGCCCAGTGCCATTAATACAGTGTCAGTGCTTTTTATTAGCACTGATCACTGTATTGGTGTCACTGGGGATGTCAGTGACACCAGGTCAGTTCCCCCCAGTGTTAGAATACCCACCGCAGTCCCACTATAAGTCGCTGATTGCCCCCATTACTAGTAAACATAAAATAAAAAAAAAAATGCCAGTATATATATACCGCCCATTTGTAAACGCTATAACTTTCACATAAACCAATTAATTTAAACGTATTGGGATGATTTTTTTTAGCAAAGACATGTCGCAGAATACATTTTGGCCTAAATTTATGACGAAATTTTATTTTTTAAAAAAAATTTTTCTGGACACGTTTAATAGCAAAAGTTAAAAATTTTGTTTTTTTTTTTACTCACAATTGTCTGTCTTTTTTTTTTTTAACAGCGCAAAAAATAAAACCGCACAGGCAATCAAATATCACCAAAAGAAAGCTCTATTTGTGGGGGAAAAAAAAAAGGATGTAAATTTAATTTGGGTGCAGCGTTGCATGACCGCGCAATTGTCAGTTAAAATAACGCAGCGCCATAACACAAAAAAAATGGCCTGGTCATGAAGGGGGGTAAATCCTCTGGAGGACAAGTGGATAAAATGTAGTACATGCTGTTTTGGCTTGTGGTTTATTTTATAGCTATAAAAGAAAAAAGGAATTCTGTCCTTTGCTTTGAGTAAGGGCCCTTTCACATGAGCGTTTTCCGTTCCGATCAGCAGGGGATCTATGAGCTGACCCCTAATTGGAGCAGAGCGCGGCGGACGACAGGTCTGTGTCCAGTTTATGCAGAGCAGACATGGACAGAACCTGCTCTGCTGTATGGGTGGCTGGGAGTAAACAGTCTCCGCTGTCGGTTCATACCCACCTGCCTCCAATCCTGTCTGTCCGAATGGAAGACACAGTCGTCTTCAATTTTTCTGTGGGTTTGATTGGACCTGGAGGTAGGCAGGTGTAAATGGTCACAAGTTTGTTTAAACCCACCAGTCCATAGGAATGCTTGGACCTTCCAATCAGGTCCACCTAAAAAACTGACAGGCTACCTGGTCAAATCGCCTGTGTGAAATGGCCCTAATTCTCCCTTTTTTTTATCAGATTTATTTTAAATGACTTATCACCACCATATGATTACCTCATGATTATCTGCTCACCTTTAACTATCCTTACAACAATCCTTATTAACTACTTTTGTCAAAAGAACTGTTGAGTGTTAAAAAAAATACAAAGCTCTTACCGTGTTCACTAGTCTTTCTCGGTCCTCACTCCGACCCACATGACAGACTGTTCCTTCAACATCTAGTCCTTGTTCTTTCAACTCTCTCACGGCTTTATCAACATTTTGTTGCTTCCGGCTGCTAATCAAAACTCGTGCTCCATCCTGAGCAAGCTTCTGCGCAATAGCCAAACCAATCCTGAGGAGGAGGAGGCACTTCATGTCATTTGGTCTAATATCTTGAGGTTTATTTTCAAGAATAGATTTTTCACGAACATAAATACTGTAAATTCATTAGGCCAATGCACTAACCTTAGGTTTTTTAAAAAAGCACACATCTCAAAATTTACCGGTACAAGAAAAAATCAGGCACTAACTGGATTTTGCATGATGCTTACAAATACAGTGCCTAAGATGGACTATTAGTTCAAGCAGGGGAAAATCATAGGGGTCATATAATAAGTAACAATTATGTTCAGGATTTCCGATCCATGGCCTCTTATTTATAAATGATATGGATCACTGGTGTCGATACTTTAGATGCATACACTTAGTAATTGGCCAACAGTGTGTATGGGCATCTTTAGTCATACAGTTATTTACTCTTTAAATTATGGGGATGGTTTCCCCTTTTGTGAATGTCAGATGGTCAAACCAGTTTTGCCATTTTACACATTTTGAACTTTACAGACTTAGATTCTTAGCAGAGCGTAATTCCATATCTCTTATCATTCCTACAAGGCACCTTGAGGGGTTACAAATATTGAGGATGGAAAATATATCAGGCATTCTGCCAGTTTAGACCATAAGGGTCTGATTTTGACACAATTTTGACATACCGTATTTGCCGGCGTATAAGACGACTGGGCGTATAAGACGACCCCCCTACTTTTCCTGCTAAAATTTAGTGTTTGAGCTATACTCGCCGTATAAGACTACCCCTCTTCCAATGCACACCAGTGGCAGGAATAGTGCCCCATCATTGGTATCAGTGGCAGGAATAGTGCCCCATCATTGGTATCAGTGGCAGGAATAGTGCCCCATCATTGGTATCAGTGGCAGGAATAGTGCCCCATCATTGGTATCAGTGGCAGGAATAGTGCCCCATCATTGGTATCAGTGGCAGGAATAGTGCCCCATCATTGGTATCAGTGGCAGGAATAGTGCCCCATCATTGGTATCAGTGGCAGGAATAGTGCCCCATCATTAGTATCAGTGGGGGGAATAGTGCCCCATCATTAGTATCAGTGGGAGGAATAGTGCCCCATCATTGGTATCAGTGGCAGGAATAGTGCCCCATCATTAGTATCAGTGGGAGGAATAGTGCCCCATCATTGGTATCAGTGGGGGGAATAGTGCCCCATCATTGGTATCAGTGGCAGGAATAGTGCCCCATCATTGGTATCAGTGGCAGGAATAGTGCCCCATCATTAGTATCAGTGGGAGGAATAGTGCCCCATCATTGGTATCAGTGGGGGGAATAGTGCCCCATCATTGGTGTCAGTGGGAGGAATGGTGTCCCAACATTGGTGTCAGTGGGAGGAATGGTGTCCCATCATTGGTGTCAGTGGGGGGGAATAGTGCCCCATCATTGGTGTCAGTGGGGGGGGGGGGGGAATAGTGCCCCATCGTTGATGTCAGTGGGGGGGAGGAATAGTGCCCCATCGTTGGTGTCAGTGGGGGGGGAATAGTGCCCCATCATTGGTGTCAGTGGGGGGGAGGAATAGTGCCCCATCGTTGGTGTCAGTGGGAGGAATAGTGCCCCATCGTTGGTGTCAGTGGGAGGAATAGTGCTCCATCATTGGTATCAGTGACACCAATGATGGGGCACTATTCCTCCCACTGACACTTGCTGACCCTGTTCTCGTATGGTGCTGCTGCAGCCAGCATATGTGGTTGCAGCAGCACCTCTACACTGACCACTTACCTGCTGGTCCTGCACTCGATTTTCGCGGGGCCGCTCGGCTCCACCCCCTCGCCGGTGATTGGCCGCCTGTGTGCCTTTCCTGAGCTACAGTTCTGGCGTCCAATCACTGGTGAGGAGGCGGAGCCGAGCAGCCCGCACGAACATCCAGTGACTGAACTGAAGGCGCAGCCGCGCTTCCTGGACCGGATCGTCGTGGGACCGGAACCAGGTAAGAAACAGCCGCTGCCCACCCCTGTACTTAGTGTCCCTTCCATTGGGGGAAGGGGGGGGGGGGCGGCGGCGGCAACGCGCCGCCCCCCTAAAAAGTGTCAGTATGCCGTATACCGGCGTATAAGACGACCCCCGACTTTTGAGAAGATTTTTAAGGGGTAAAAAGTCGTCTTATACGCCGGCAAATACGGTATGTATAAGATCCCCTTCCTCTTTTTGGCATTTATGGCACAACTGTGTGGTTCCATTTACCCACTCTGAATAGCCTATCTGGTGTGAAATATACTCTGTGGAAGTATCTAGGGTGTATGAGTTAGTCTTTGGCTTATATGACAGTGAAGTAACAGGAATAATCAAATTCTTATCAATCATGATCAGTAAAATCTGGGATATCTATGTACCACTGATCCTTAACACATCGTATTTTAGAGTTGTTTGATTGCATGAGGGTGGAATAATACCTAGATATCAATTTTGCATGACTGGGAGGGAGTAACATGTTTTCAGTAGGAGATGTTTGTAATGTCATATTTAATGAATCATATTGTCCACTGGCTGACATATACAGAAGGTATTTGAAGTAGAAAGGGTAGGGTAATTTAAGTACACAAGTGCCCTGATCATACAATTGGTGTAGATGTTTTAGGCCAACTACAGCTCATACATGAATATTCATGTTGCCGTGCAAGCTGGGGTTCTGACATATGGGAGTTTCTGGGCAAGAAAGACTGAGCAAGCAGTAACAAAGAATATTCTTGTGTATTTAAGAGTAAATCGTGTCTCACGTAAGGTAACTAAACCTGCCTCAGTGACGGTGGTTGCATTGTTTAGATCTGGAAACATCCACCAATTCTTATACACAGGTTGAGAGGCACAGTAATAAATATGCAGATTGGGTAATGCCAAACCATCCTTTAAAATTGGCAGTTGTAACATAAACGGCGAGAATCAGAGAGGTGGGGGAAGCTAAACTCCAGTGAGGTAATTAAAGTGACAATCCCTTGAAACTTGCTGTTAGGTACGTAGACAAGGGAGTTGGAAGGTATAGTTTAGAATTGAAAGGGGTTGCGAACCTTTAAATATAACTAGTGAAGTGAATAGCCTCAGGAGATACACAGAAGAAACAAAACATCCTATATAAGTTGTACATGCTTATCTGCAGTCTCTTCTCTACATCCATTCAAAGTTCAAAGTTTATAAAGAGTGTCTGAGATTTCAAAAAACAGGGGGAGGGCAACAGAAATGACACACTGCAGAGCTCAGTGAGGAGAGCTTTGATAGCTGATTAGAGGGAAGAGACACACCCCACTTCACACAGCACACAAGAACAGAACTGTTTAATCAGAGGCTGTATGCTAGAGATCCCCCCTCACCTATTTTCTCTTAGTGTCAGGAAAACTTGTCAAAAATTATTCATGTTGATAACAGAGCAACAGACAGAAATGACACTTAGCGCTCTGGATTGAGACAAGTACACACTATAGAGGGATATGCTTTGTTTGTATTTCATGCCTGAGGTTTACAACCACTTTAAGGAGGAAGGTCATTTTGAACACATTTATTTTATGTAGGAGGTTAAAAGGCAACATGTTCCATATAGGATTTCTGTCTCTTAAGTGTGTTTAAGGGGATTCAAGTGTATTTTCTATGTATTTGAATAATGGTGGTTGAACAGAAGTGTGCAACCAATGTCAAAGCCCAACTCTGTGCTGTGATCAACTGCAAAATATAGATTTTCCCTATTTACCAGTCAATGAGTATGTGCCAAACGCTTTGAATAAATCTTGACATATTTTTATAGAACACATAAGGCTAGTCAAATATATTAGCATATTGTCAGCACAGAGTGACACTGGCTTCTCAGAAGAGCCAATAACGAGTCTCTGGATTAGCAGGGTCTTCCTGATCAGCTCTGCAGGCGGCAAAATGGCCAGGGCAAATAGGAAGGGAGACAAGTGACAGCCCTGTCACATACCTTTTTGTTTGGAGAATGGATCAGTGACCATATTGTGTGGGCAGTTGGGTTATTATATAATATCTATATGGAATTTATAAATATAGGACTGGAACTGAATTTACACAAGGTTTGTATCATGAGCAGAGTCAAATGCTTTAGGCTTGTCCAATGTTAGGACAACTCTGGGTCTAGAAGAGTCGTGAACTTTGTACATTGGTAAAGAGTGTTTTGATATATTTATTTGTTGCTCTGCCAGGTATAAACCTTTTTGTTTGGTCTGAGTTGATAAGAGTTGGGCTTTACTGCATTTAATCTGTGTGATAATATTCTAAGATTTTTGTTCAGAGTTAATATGCAATACTGTCCTATAAGATTCACAGTGTAAAGGATCTTTTTTAGATTTGCTTATTAAGATTTGGGCTTTGCACAGCTAAGGTGGGAAGATACCTATTTTATGTACATGTTCAAAAAGATCAATTAGATGGGAAGATAATTTGGAGTTTATAAGTACCATACTATTCCACAGAATATCCATCAAAGTCCAGGATTTTATGCTTTAGAAATGAAGTTACAGTTGATATACAAGTGCCACATACTGCCGTTATATTACTTGTGATTAGGTGACTCGGTTATGACCTCTGAGATCCAGCACTGATCAGTCTCTGGAAGAGTGGAAAAAATTTGTTTCTTTATCATACATCAAGGGACACAGAGCAGGCTATTCATTTCAGGCTGCAAAGCAACAAATTGTGGTTATTTTAAAGGGGGTGATTCTTTTCTATAGCCAGTGTACATATAATTATGGCTCCAAGTGTCATTCCAGGTGGAGGGGAACTCCTATGGGCTCTTTCGATTGTGAGCAGGTTAGAGAAGGATTGCTCACGCACAGATTCCATAAATCAATTTCCAATAATGGATTCAGAATTTCTCCCTTCTATGCCTTAAGAACAGGCATCACCAAATTGCAGACCGTGGTCCGGATCCTGACCCAGAAACATTCCTTTCTGGACTGCAGCCTCTCCAAATAGTTGCCTGAATGTCCTCCTCCCGCCACCGGCTCGCCCGCCCACCACTGCCGCTATTGTCCTCAAGGAAGGGCACAATGTTTGAGGTGCAGCAAGTCTGTCTCTTTCATAACATTGCAGCACTGCCCTCTTGCTCCTCCCCTTCCCACACAGTCCTACCTTATTCACACAAAACGGGAAGCACGGCAGGTTTGGACATAGGGCGGGAATTTTCATGTTAGGAAGCGATTGACTGGTTGTGGGTGATTGATTGCTAGGCAGCGGGGTGGTCCAAGCAATCATTCACCCGCCTTTAACATGAAATGCACCACCCTATATCCAGACCTGGCATGCTTGCCACCTTGTGTGACTAAGGTAGGACACTGTGGGGAGGGGGAGTACTGCGATGTTATGAAGGGACAGGAATCTGTAATATACAGGAAGGACTGTGATGGGGCGATCTGTGATGAGGAGGGGTCTTTTATGAGGGGTGGCTGTGATTGGGTGGGATGTGTGACGAGGGGGATCTGTGATGGAGGGTATCTGTGGTGAGGAGTCTGTGATGGAAGGTATCTGTGAAGAGGGATCTGTAATGAGGGGGATCTGTAATAAGGGAGATGTGCATGGGAAGTTGTGATGTGAAGGATCTGAGTCATAGCACTAACATGACACTCAGACCTCTGGTAGAGGAAGAAAATTTTACTGACCGGACCCCCGTGAATTTTAATTCAGTACCCCTGCTTTAGGAGGTCCTCTTAGTCATAGAGTTTTTCCGAACAGCGTGTCAAGTGCTGTTTGGTGATTCTGTGATCATACAATGGACTTTGCCCTCCAGATCACCAATTCTTTGCACAGTTTCTAATATGATGTATATTTTGTTTAAACAGGGAAATATCAATATGTACAGTTTCTATTTCTGAATGGGAGATGTTTAACAATTATGGATGATGGATGACTTCCATTATCCAGGAAAGTGAAAGGCTCTGTTGCTGCGTCTGATTACCTTTGGATACTTTCTCTCAGCTGAAGGAACACATGTGAGTATGGTGCCAAGATATCCGTCTTTAGTGAGAATACCGGCGCCGGGTCACATGTGCTTATGGCATTAACGCCATCTTCTTCTGTTCTGGTGCAAATTCAGCCAGGCAGCATTGCGTTGCCCTATTTCACTATGGCAGCTGATGCGGGAGTGCAACACAACTAGGGATCAGCAGAGTAGCTGAGGGATGGACCAGCACGTTGCCTCCACAGTGGAAGTTGGACAAGCCTGCATGAATATTACATAACCTTATTACTGTCCTTTTTGTTTAATCATCAGAGCACTTGTGGGTTTATCCACAGCTGCAAGGAGATCAGTGAACAATAATACAGATGGGGTGGAAAGCTGGGGGAAGGCAGCCATGGTGAATATTAATATTTAGAGTTGTGAGGAGTAATTGGGTGGCTCTGCAGCTGTCCATCATTTTTCCCAGCTAGAGTAGAGGCCATAAAATAAAAATAAAATCCATTGCAGCCCTGAGCTTGTTTTAACCCTTTGATTACCCTGCCATAAAACATATGTCACTTATCACTTTAGAGATGGAACAACTATGACATATGCAATACATCTTTGGCAGTCAAAAGCTTAATAGCAGGTATTTACAACATGCTGTCTTACCAAGTATAGCTCTCTGAATCTAAAGCCTTATGAACCTGAAGACAGCATTTTACCATTATAAACATTCCCTTACTTGCACATGGCATATAAACACTTACTGTATATGTGTAATTCAAATATCTTCCATTAAAACTTTGATTCAAGCTTTCTATGAAGAACATAGCATTTTATTTTCCACTGAATAAAGAAAATCTACAAATAATGGTGGGGTAATCCAATCAGAGTATGTTCATGATATGTAGGAGTTTTCCAGCAGTGAACTTCTATTTTGTTTTACTACAGGAAACTATTTCATCCATATCTATGAGTCCTGTTCACATGCTTGCCCTGTACCTGTGTGACAAGCTGTACAAGTGTTTTTAAACAGAGCAAGAAAGGGTTAGGACTTCTGCTTGGTTTCCATTGGTGTATGTGACTCTAATGGGGGGATTTTGCCTGATTTGTTTGATCCCTGTGACAACAGAAAATGACAAGAGAAGAACACAGGCCACTGGAAAAGGATGCAGTTGACATTAATGAAAAGTTGCCAGAATTTGTATCCTTTCCATACTCAAATATAAATGTGTTTTTGTTACTGAGTGCCCATTGGAAAACGTTCCCCTTGCTTTTTATTTCAGTGAAGAAAAACAGTTTGGTGTAGTGCCTTAGCTCTTGTGCTACATAGATTTAAGTGGCAAACAGAGCAAATGACAATAGATACACACAAGAACAATAATGACAAAGGGAAATCAGCGATAAAGAAGCAATACATAGGCCTGAATTACCCATCTGTTGATGCTGTTACCAGAGCCACTTTGCCTTGAAGTTTTGGAGGGGTCTGCACCCCCCTTACACTCTGCATTATGCAGGATCCTCCACCACGAGGTGACACGGACAGCAAACGGTGTAAGGACAGGCGAAGCATTGAGCAGGAAGGTGGACTCTGCACTTGACACATGCACAGAAAAAGAGGAGGGAAAAATGAGATAAAAGTTCAAAGCACAATGGTATATGCACACAAGTGTCTGTCTCATTAAAGAGAGAACAATACGGATCTCTAGTCATGGACTACAAGCATGAATACTAGATAAACATACAGAGTTTTTGTTTTTTACACTTTATTATTAATAAACAGGGAGCTTCCCTTCCTGAAGGAAGGCGTTGGGAATAAAGGGAGTATGTGCTGCTGGGGAGGTAAGCAATACTGTAAAGAAAGCCAGGTGCTCTGCCTTACATGAGCAAAGGACAGGATTGCTTTAACATATATTCATAGATAGGCAGTTTTTGTGCCAGCATGATACTGGCTAGAGATATGCAGAATGTCGGTGTGTGCAGGATACCAAAGTGCTCTCTACTTTACAGAATCTTGAACTCTATTTTGCAGCCTCTGTCCGGGATCAGATTAAATGCTGGCAGAGGGACACAGGTGCAGGCTGATACACAGAAAATACTTCTGGGTATCAGAGGGAGAGGAATGCAGCCTCCATGCAGTGCTCAAAAGCACTATTTCTAGAGTGAAACATGTGACTATGTATTCCTATGGAATTCTTTACACCTGTTGCAGGTCCGATGCGTTTTTCCAAGTCCTCCTTCCTACATTTTTGGTGCGGTAGAAAACCTGCACAAAAAACGTACCTCCCAATAAAATCAATGCAAAAACGCATCCAAAAGATACACTTTTTGCATATTTTGGTGCAGTTTTTGAGTCACGTCCTTTAAAAAAGCACCGCAAATGTGGTAAAAAACACATATGCTTTTTTTGCCACAGATCAGTGTGAAAGTATTCTAAGTGGTGGATTTTTAAAGAGTGCCTTACTAGACCACAGGAGATATAAGTGATGCCACCAATGCTGGGAGTGGCGTTATTTTTGCAGCCATCCACTGACCAACTAGGGATGAGCTCCTCTGTATTCAGATCCTAGTCCAAACCCACCTGTCAGGAAGCTATCACCGGTACTGGGCCAAAGATCTGCAACAAGGGTGTATACATGTGGCTGCAAGGTAGGGAATGCCATGGGTGCTTATGATTGGATCAGTACAGTGACCACTTCCTGGCAGGCTCACTTATGAGTTGGGACTAGGGTCCAAACATGCCTGAGCTCATCCCTACTGACCACTAATGCTGAGAAGAAGGTGGGTTTTTACAACCAGACACTGACCACCAATATTTCTAATCATAGACTTTATGGTCTCACCAGTTCCTGATTGCCAAGTAGGGACAAGCTCAGGTGTGTTTGGATCCTAGTCTGAACTCATCAGGAATCTGTCACATGTATGGGCCAATGATGAGTGGCTGAGGAATCTCTGCCTTGCAGCCCCATTTATACAAGCAGCTGTGGGGTGGGAAATACCTCAGCCACAGGTGATTGGCCCATACAGGTAAAAACTTCCTCCTGGTGGGCTTGATTTCTACTCTGAACATGTCCAAGCTCATCATTATTGCTAAGTAGTTACTGACTGTTTTATGATGTTCTTCAACTTGTTTGCACCGACAGTATGTATACAGTGGGGAAAACAATATATGATCCCCAGCAGATTTTCTAGGTTTGCCCACTTACAAAGAGAAGAAGGGTCTATAATTTTTATCATAGGTGTATTTTAAATGATAGAGACAAAATATAAACCAAAAATCCAGAAAAAACACATGATATAAATTGAGTTACAGTTCTTTGAGTAAAATAAGTATTTGATCCCCTACCAACCAACACTAATTCTGGCTCCTACAGACTGGCTGTGTGCTCACGTGGTACACAGATTAGTCCTGTCAATTTAAGAAAGTGCTCCTAATGACAACTCGTTATGTGTATAAAAGACACATGTCCACAGAATCTCTTTCTTGGGCACCACCATGGGTAAGACCAAAGAGCTGTCAAAGAACGTCAGGGACAAGATTATAGCACTGCACAAGGCTGGAATGGGCTACAGGACCATCAGCAAGAAGCTTGGTGAGAAGGAGACAACTGTTGGTGTTATTATTCATAAATGGAAGAAATACAAAATAACCATCAATTGCCCTCAGCCTGGAGCTCCATGCAAGTTTTTGCCTCATTAGGTAAGGATGATCATGTGAAAAGTGAGAGATAAAAAGAGAACTACACAAGAGGAGCTTGTGAATGATCTCAAAGGCAGTTGGGACCACAGTCACCAAACAAACCATTGGTAAGACAATACGTCACCATGGATTGAAATCCTGCAGTTCCTGCAAGGTTCCTCTCTTCAAGAAGCCACATGTACAGGCCCATCTGAAGTTTGCCAATGAACATCTAAATGATTCAGAGAAGGATTGTGCTGTGGTCAGAGGAGACCAAAATTGAGCTCTTTGCCATTAACTCAACTCACTATGTTTGGAGGAAGAAAAATGCTCACTATGACCCTAAGAACACCATCCCTACAGTCAAGCACAGAGGTGGAAATATTATGTTTTGGGGCTGTTTTTCTGCTAAAGGTACAGGCCGACTTTGCCACATTGAGGGGCCAATGGACAGGGCCATGTCTTGTAAAATCTTGGATGAGAACCTTCTTCCCTCAGCCAGAACACTGAAGATGGGTGTTCCAGCATGACAATGACCCAAAACATACTGCCAGGGCAACAAAGGAGTGGCTCAAGAAGAAGCACATTAAGGCCATGGAGTGGCTTAGCCAGTCTCCAGACTTTAATCCTATAGAAAATTTATGGAGGGAGCTAAAACTTTGAGTTGAAAAACAAAACCTTGCGAGCTGCTATACCAAATATAATATAAAATATGAATGGATCGCCCACACCATACACACACCCATACAATTGTGTCAATATATTTAAAATACCAAATGAAAAAACCGCCACTTATAAAAAACACCAAAATGTCAGCAGCATATCCCACCCAAAATAAATTTTGGCAACAATAATCCTAAATAAAAAGGTATGCGCTAATAACAAACTTATACAAAGATGTATATCATCATCCAAAAAACATTAGTGTTTTAAATAAATAATTATAGTGTCCAAACATAAATTAGTGTCCAAAAATATATATATATATCTTCAGTGACTTGAATTAATTTGTGAAAAATCCAACACCAAAGGAGATTAAATGAACTCACCAGAGCTAATGGCTGGTCAGATTCTAAACCAGCAACAGCGCTTGTGCTCTGGGAGCAATGAACCCGATGTCCAAATAGATATGGTGATGTTTCAGATACTTCCAGATAATAATCACAGACAAACAACTTTGCAGCCCAAGCTCTTATGATGAACTTCTCCACTCTTTCTCATACCTCCATGAGAGCATGCAGTACACTCAGGGACAAAAAAGAGAACATAATGGTGCAATAAGGTGTCCAACAGACACCAGCTTCAATCGCAAAAAAAGGGGGGTTGAGATACAGTTAACGCTCACCGCGGATCTCTCCCATACAGCACAGAACAGCAAGGCTCTCTAACGTCCACATCGAGTAGGCTACGCCCAACCGGTTTCGTCACACCGACGTCATCAAGGGGCGGTACCCCCCTTATAGTAATATATTTAAAATACCAATGCAGTGCCGCACTCCACTATATGCAAAACAATCAAACAAATATGAAGCAAATCAAGTCAAAATAAAAAAATCTTTTAACAAATATTCAAGTGTCCACACAAAGTCCCTGGTTATCTGTAGCCACTATACTGTAAATATGCGGTGCTCCTCAATCCACTTCTTGTGATATACTCAAACCAACATATTGTGTACATCTATCAGTTTTGCCCTCACCTGGCATTTGGACTGTGATGAGATGAGATTACTATCCAATGGGTCTGGGACCCATTGGAGAGCTCTCCTGGGACACGAAGGAAGATCTCTGGCCTGCCTTGATGCTTGGCATCTAATCTGATGAAGGAGGACAACTAGAGCAGTGAAGGAGACCCAGCCCCATTGGAAAGTAATCTCATTTCATCACAGTCCAAATTAAAGGGACACATGCTTTATATGACCTCACTTAACGGTTTAGTCGTATAAACCAGGTGAGGGCAAAATTTGTGGAGGTACACAATATGTTGGTTTAAGTATATCACAAGAGGTGAATTGAGGAGCACCGCATATTTACAGCATAGTGGCTACAGATAACCACGGACTTTGTGTGGACGCTTGAATATTTCTTCAAAGACTTTTTTATTTTTATTTTATATTTATTTTTATTTGATTTGCTTTATATTTGTTCGATTGTTTTGCATATAGTAGAGCGCTGCATTGGTATTTTAAAACTTTGATTTGCCAAGCGACAGCTAAGAAACCTTAAGGATTTAGAGAAAATCTGTAAAGAAGAGTGGATTAAAATCCTGAGATATGTGCAAACCTGGTAACCAACTACAAGAAATGTCTTACCTCTGTGCTTGCCAACAAGGGTTTCTCCACCAAGTATTAAGACATGTTTTGCTTGGGGATCAAATACTTATTTTGCTCACTGAACTGCAACTCAATTTATAACATTTGTATCGTGTTTTTTCTGGATTTTTGGTTGATATTCTGTCTCTATCATTTAAAATACACCTATGATAAAAATTATAGACCCTTCATTTCTTTGTAAGCGGGCAAACGTACAAAATCTGCAGGGGATCACATAATTATTTTCCCCACTATATATGCGACCTCTTGGCGGGTGGGCCTTGATATCAAGAGGTCGCATATATGCATACCAAAATGTAAACAAAGTTATGCCAAGAGTGAGCACCCTGCGCACTCCTAGAACAGTTACTGGTACTTACTGGAAAGGCATCGCCCTACTTGCGATCGGGAGCTTTCCGATCATGTGACACTGTAACAGCAAATCACATGGGTCAAATGATCATAAACCCCACCCCCGCCTCCTGGCATCAGAAACCCCTTAAAGGGCCAGGAAACACCAGCATTAAGGGGTTAAGATTAGCCGAAAACATATGTGATAGAATAGTTTAAATTTTTAAAAAACAT